TCACCTCCCCTTTTTTGGAAACCCCCCAAAAAAAAAAAAAAAAAAAAAAAGCTTTTTGTTAGCCACTAAAATAGTACTAATCTGATTTCCAAATGAACTGATTTTAAAATAGGGATGTGCCTATTAAAAAATAACTTAAAAATACAGACATTTACAATTACAGTTATTCCCAAAGTAAACAGGAAAGTTCTATTTGATAAATGTAATTCTTTAATCTTCAATATTTTAAACATAATAATTAACAGTGGTATTGAGTGGTAGTATGTGTCTTTTCCAATTACAAATAAAATAATTTAAAAAAAGTATCTGTTTGATTCATTTACCTCTACTGGGAAAATTTCCATGGTTTTATTATAAGGAGAGTAATGGAAGAAACAGGTAAGACACTGGAGAAATTCAGTAAAATAAAATACTATTATTTCTTTTTTTTTTTTTAAAGTAAATTTGCCAGAGGGTACATGCACTCACTGAGAGAGAAAAAGTGCATCCTATGTGGGGATGGTACTCAATCCACAATTTTCCTCCATTTCTCCTTCCTTTTGAGAATTTTGGGCTCACAAGCACATGCACCCAGTGTTTCTCTCAAGCTGCTGGGTCCAGGACTCAAGCTGTATAGTAGATTACGTGGGATCCAGCCACCTTAAACACCATGTCACCAGCTGGCCCCAAATACTATTGTAAATGTTTATGCATTAGAACCATGGAATGGTGGGCGGGAGGCAAAGATTTCAGGGCCCTAGAGCCAGACCTACCAACCAGCTTTTGAGATTGAAGACCAGAAACCCATGGCTCAATGATTCTAACACAGTCAGTCTAGAAAATAGCATTTGGGTGTGCTGGACCTGTAGTGCAGTTGTTAAGCCCTGTGCATAGAATGTATGATTTCACATGGTTGACCATGATTTCACAAGGCCTGAATCCCAAGCCTTGTGGCTTGAAAACATTCAGGCGAGTTTTCATCCTGATGAGATGAAGAACAGGAGGCAAAAGAACTGTGGCACGACCAGGCCCCAATGGGGGGATATCTCCTCTTTTCTTCTCTCTCGTTTAAATGTATGTGCCTTATAGCAATTAAAAAAAAAAAAAAAAACGCACTTGGAAACCACTAAACTGACAAGATTTTATGACTTTGTAATTCTAATTTTGTGGCTTCTATGGAGACCATCCCTATAACAAAACTTTCAGCAAAAACAACAATCACTAATGGAACCAGCATATGGTATAATGGTTATGCTGCTGGACTCCCACATAGTCAACTGCAGTTCGAGTCCTGGACCTGGCAGCATAAACTCACACAGGCTACATGTGTATGCATGCCCCAAATCCTGAGAGAATGGAGGAGAAGGGATTATAGTTTAACTGTCCCCTTGGGGGGTGATTTCTCACTTTCTGTCTCTCTTTTTTTCTGTCTCTCTGGCCTTATAGCAAAAGTCTAAAAAAAAAAAAGTCACAAAATAATACAATTCACATTTAAATATTTAATTCTTTTTTTTAAACTATAAAGTACTCTCTTAAAAGTGGTTAGATACATCTTATCCCACTTATATTCTACAGCTCACTCTTAACCCAGGCTCCTTAATGGCTCTTCATAAGTACCCACATTTACTGTACCATCTGACCTCATGTGACAGGCTGCAGTTAAAACAATATATATAGAACATACCACTTCACATCATTTTTAAATGAAACCCTGAGAAAAGTCATTTAATTTCCAGACTCAGACATTCGGGGGAGGGGGAGGGTTTGCTATAGGGCGCGTGCGGTCGCCAGATAGACAGAGAGACAGAGAGATAGAAAGCAAGAAATCACCCCCCAGGGAGGATGGCCACGCCGTAATCCCTTTTTCTCCACGCTCCTCTTGGGATATTGGGCACGCATGCACATGTGCCTGGTGTGAGTTTTAAGCCACCGGGTACAGGATGCTAACGGCGGTCAACTACATGGGAGTCCAGCGGCATAGCCATTACATCAACTGCTGGTCCCCAGACTCAGACATTTTAAAGCATCTTTTTGATTACAAAATATGAAAGCAATTAATTCAGGGTGAGAATCTTAAGTAGAAAACTTTTCTTAGAATTATAATTTATTCCTGCCTCTATGAATTGTACAAGTGTTTCGGGCTACTGACTTTAGTGCAGTTTTGCCATTATCAATTTAAGTTGCAGGTCAACTTTTGGATTTAAGGAGAAGACTATTTTAATCCCTCAACCATCAAATGTATTAATGTATGTGTAAATTATAGAACTTTACTATTTTATTTTAAGAGAGATTTTTGCTACTGGGCACATGCACTTGCTTGAGCGAGAAATTACCTCCTGGGGGGATGACCATGTCGCCATCCCTTCTCCTCCATTTTCCTCTCAAGATCTTGGGCATGCATATATACACACCCAGTGTGTGTTTTAAGCCACAGGGTCTGGGACTTGAACCATGGGACTTCAGCAATATAACCATTATGCCATCTGCTGGTCCCAAGGTTGACTATTAAAACAGATGTAAACCTCACAGGAAGCAGAAATACTTTTGAATGCTCTCCAACTGTCCGGTTCACTATTTGACATTATATAATTATGCTTTTTATTTATTTCTGTGCCAGAGGGCATGTGTACACATGAGAATATACACATGGCATGAATGTGTACAAGAGTGTGTGTGCATGCACACCCCAATGAGGCCGTGTCATGTTCCAACCCATTTCCCTCTAATTCAACATGCCATCAGGATTCTGGGCATATGTGCTCATGCCCAGTATGTTTTTCCAGTTGCCAGAACTGGGACTAGAAACCTAGTTAGTTGTGTGAAATTTGGCTTCTTTCATGTAGGGCTTAAGTGGTACACTACAGGGCTGGCTCCAGATTTTATTTTCATATATATATATATAATAGGGTGCGTGTGCTCACCAGAAAGACAGAGAGAGACAGAGAGACAGAAAGTGAGAAATTATCCCTCCCCAGGTGATGGCCATGCCGCAATCCCTTCTCCTCCACTCTCCTCTTAGGATCTTGGGCGTGCATGCACATGTGCCCAGCGTGAATTTAAGCAACTGGGTCTAGGACTTGAACCGTGGTCGCCCACATGGGAATCCAGCAATGTAGCCATTACACTATCTGCTGGTCCTAGATTTTAAAATATTTTAAATAGAGAATTATTTTAATCTCTATATATTTTTTTAACAATGCAGATTTTCTATCATTCCTCTAAATGTAGCACAGTGGTTAAATTTTAAGATGCATAAAGATTGCTGTATGTAATTATATGTACTATTTTATAGTTTATGGATGATTTAAAGGATTTTCAAAGGTAATTTTAACTTTATACAATTTTGCCTCATCTTTTCTGAGGTGAGATTCCACTATACAGGTTGAGCATGCCTAACCTGAAAATCCAGTAATTGAAATGCTCCAAAATCCAAAACTTTGTGAGTACAATCTCATGGCACAAGTGGAAAATCTTACATCTGATCTCATGTGACAGGTTGAAGTTAAAACAATGTATACAAAAATACTATATAAAATTATTTACAGGCTAGGTGAATAAGGTGTATATGATGCATAAATGAATTTCGTGTTTAGACTTGGGTCCCATCCCTAAGATATCTCATTATATACATACAAATATTCTGAGATCCGAAACCCAAAATACTTCTGGTACTAAGCTTTTCAGATAAGGGATACTCACCCTGTACTATGAATGACAATGAATAATTAAACTCCTTTAAAAAAACCATAATTTACTCTAGAGTAGAATGTTTAAAAAAATGAAATTCAAGGGTCCTATGTAAACGTACTTTAAGACTTTAAATTCTAATATATCTGAAGTAGAAATAGTAAGACATTTACAGTATTTATGATAATTTATTCTTCTAACTGCATAAAAAGAGCTTTGTGACTACTTCAGCCATTTTTGGGGGGTGATTCTCTCAACTGTGCCATTCTTACTTCTAAAGTTAATTATTTTACAGTCTTTACAGAAACTAGGGAACTGTATAACAGTTTAAATTTCTGGTAAATGGGTGAATACTATGAAAACACCAAAGAGGTTTAAAGAAAGTCATATTTGAAATACTTAGAAAATATAATATAAATAACAAATTGTTCTTAAGGTGCTGTCATTATCCATGAATGTAATGTTTGAAAATGTAATGTTTTTTCCCCTTTTGTGAGGGGGGCTGTTAATATTAATCTATTAGGGTTTTCTTTAAAAGAAATACAAACATGATGGGGCCAGTAGGTAGCATGACAGTTAAGGCACTGGATTCCCACATGGCCAACAATGGTTTGTGTCCCAGAGAAGTGAAAATCATGCTTGAGGACCAGAGGATAGCAAGCATGGCAGTTGCATCACTGGACTCCCACATGAACGACAGTGGTTTGAGTCCTAGACCTGCGGTTGTGACTCAATGCGTGTATGTGCATGCTCAGGGTCCCAGGAGGAGAATGGAGAAGGGACGGTGGCATGGCCATCCCCTGGGGGGTTATTTCTTACTTCCCCTCTCACTTTGTCTGCCTCTCTCTCTCTCTCCTGGCAAGTGCATGCTCACTAGGGCAGGAATCTTTTTTTTAAAAAAAAGAAAGAATAAGTAAATCATGCCAGGCGCACATGAATGCATGCCCAACATTACAAGAGAAGAATGGAGAAGGGATTGAGGCATGGTCATCCACCCGGGGGTGATTTCTCACTTTCTTTCTCACTGTCTCTCTTTCCTGAGAGCGCATGCACCCTATGGCAAAAACCTTAAAAAAAACCAAAGAAATACAAACATGAATTTCACAATTCCAAAAAATACTCAGTTAAAATGAAAATGTGCTATCTTTTTAAATCATTTAAATGTCCTATACTGAAGTAATAACTGCTGTACGTTGTTATAGATTTATTTAAATAAAACAATTTGCCAAAAGGGCATTACTTTCCTAGTATGAGGATACCCTAAAGTCTAGACTAAAATTTTATTATTTTAAAAGGGTTAATTTACTCAAACAGGGTTATCATATTATCACAGATATATTATATTCTAGCCATTAAAAAAATCCAGATTAACAAAAATTTTCACTGTGATTCAGAAAACATTTTTCTGCATACATTTCTTAGTTTATTTTGATTACTATAATTTTTTTAAACAATCAGTGCTTTAAAAAAAGCCTGATCTATCAAGATTTATCTTATAAATTAACACTTACCATTAAACACCTCATTGAATTCTCCAGGAGGGGCATGAATGATGAATTTTGCTGCTATACGCACCTAAAAGAGAAATGAAGATATTTATAACTGTGTATAGCAGAAGCCTTGGCTAAAAACAAAACAAAACAAAAATGAAAAATTAAACTATGTCACAATTCTTTTTTTTTTTTTTTAAGTTGCAGAAGGGTGCATGTGCTTACCAGAGAGAGACATGAAGAAAGGAAGAAAAAGAAAGCACCCTCCAATAAAGTAATAAAGTATGGTCAATGCCACAATTCCTTGTCTTTCATTTCTCTAACCTGTTGGGATTCTGGGCATGCATCCACACATGTCTGGTGTGTTTCTCATGCCATTGGGTTTGGGATTCGAACTGTGGTTAGCCATGTGGCATCTGGTTTCCTTGATCATTAGGCCACGGAGATAACTCTCAAAGTTCTATTTTTGAAGAGTTTAAGATATTTTACTCAAGTACCTTAAGTTTACTAATGTTTTAATTATTTAATATAATCACAACATACAGGCTGAATGTAGATAAAGAATTTAAAACCATTAAGGATTCAAAGCTGCCTACAAACTTATTCTTAAAAGCAATTTTATTTCTTTTAAAATAAAGTGAAAAATATTCACTGAATTAAGAAATATTTAACAAAAACAAAAGCCCTGATTTTTGTTTGATTGATAATAGCACTATTATTGCTTTGATGTATAAATTAAAAATAATGGAAAGAAAATGAAATGGTATACATGCTTATGGACATATTATGTGTTTGTGTACATACATCTAAGTACAGATAGAGTTTTCAGAGGAGAGCACTTTAAAAGAGACATGGATGGCTCAAGCGTGGAGATGTTTAGTCAAAGGTTACATGAATGACAAGGCCTTCAGAAGCCTTGAAGACAACTATTAACTTTCGATCAATTTTGCTGCAACTTGAGAAGACACCTTTATGGCTCCTGAGAACTAGTGATTTCAGGGGAATAAGCGAAATGAAGATCTTCCACTGATAATTCAGCCTCTAGCCCACAAACTTGAGTGGGCTGTGCGCTGCACAGTTTTCTAATTTTTGTTTTAAAATAATAATAATTAAAAAAAATTTTTTTTTAAGTTTTTTTCTTCTCTTTTCTCTGTTCCTTGGTTGTTTTTGTTGCTGCTGCTTCTCTCTCTCTGTTTCCTCTTCTGCATGCTCCTGGACATGCAGATTGAACTTCAAGTGTGGGAAGAAACAGACCATCCATCAGATGACTAGAAACCACTGCAGGACCACAAGAAATATGGGAAAACAAGAAAATACCTCTCCTCCAAGGGAAAAGAATAACTCCTCTTCATCCACAGACAGTTCAATGGAAATCATGGAAATGTCTGATAAAGAATTTAGAACATTCATCATTGCAAAGCTAACAAGAGATGACAGAGAACAGAGACAATGACCTGCTCATTGCTGTAACTGACACAGAGGAAGTTAAGAAACTGATTCCTGAACCTAAAGAATGACTGAACTGGACAATCACCTTGAGCGACCACTAAATCATTACTGAATGCTAAATAAATGGGCAAAATCATAAAGTAATAATGGGATTTATAGTTTGTAAGCACCTCTCCAAGTAATACTTCATTTCAAAGGAATAAATGGTAATTTTACATTGAAGAAATCTGCTACACACCACTTTTATAAAATGATCAATGTTATCAATAGTGCGGCCAGGTGGGGGTACAGTGATGAAATACAATGCTAAGGGATGCAGGCATGCAGGAAGTTTGCTGGTTCGCATCCAAAGACTGACTCCCTGAATACACCAGGTGCACGTGTGTCCATGATCTGGACTGGCTCAAGTTGGAGTAGAGTGCAGTGTCAAGACTCTTTTGGGGTGTTGTATCTGTTTTTCTCTCTCTGTCTTTGTCACCCATTGAATACGTACATAAATTTAAGCAATGTTATCAATAGTAATAAGAAAATTGACATCATGTGTCTCCTGGGAGGATACACTGAGAACACATCATCAATTTATGTGATATTCCTGCCAAAAAGTCATTGACTGATTCTCATTATGAAGAAGCATCAAACAAACCAAAATTGAGGGACAGTGTAGAAAATAATTCGTCTGTACTCGTCAAAAGACTTAAGGTCATGAAAGACAATGCTGAAACTGCTCAGATTAAAGAAGATCAGAGATATGATGGCAAAACTAAGTGATTTTGGTTTAGATCTTGGACTTGGGGAGAAAAAAAAAAGACACTAGTGATTATAGTGTCACTGGTAAAATGTGAATAAGGCCTATAATTCGATAATTTTATCATAGCATTAGATAATTGTACTACAGTTACTTAAGAGAATATCTTAAGCATGCTATATAGAAATTGGAGGGTGGGGGTCCTTCTCCACTCTGAGACTGTAGAGGTCTTCTCCTATAATTTTTTCTAACTTTAAAGTTTTGTTCTTTGTATCTAGGTGTTTAATCAGCCTGGGATTGATGGGCTGATTTTTATATATGCTATGGGATAAGGATCTATTTTTTACTATACTGTCATAGGAATAAATATTCCAGCTATAGTACTATTTGGTAAAGTATACTTCTTTACCTCATTGGATTAAAAATTAAAGAAAAAATATCTGGCCAGCCACAACAGCACAGAAGTAATGCAAAGCTTCAGTAGTACAAAGTTTCAGGGTGCTAAAGCTATATGGAAAGGTCCTGGACTCATGACCTGAAATCTCCCTGCCTATGTCACAAACATGCACATATACCATGATCTTGGTTGGCTCACCCTGGGGATAGGATTATTGCATGAAGACCCTGTGGGAGTACAGCCCCTCATCCTATCTACCTCTGTCATGAGAGAAATAAATAAACATTAAAAAAATTTTTTTAAAGGGGGGAGGGGGATAGTCTTTAATATTCAACTCTACTACTTTTAAATGTGAGTTACTTGTTTATTTCAGAAACGGATATGAAAGCACATTGATACTTTTTTTTTTTAATCCACATGCTTTTTTTTCTTGGAGAGGTTTTTGCTATAGGACGCGTGCGCTCGCCAGAAAGCCAGAGAGAGACAGAGAGATAGAAAGCGCGAAATCACCCCCCAGGGGGGATGGCCACACCGCAATCCCTTCTCCTCCATTCTCCTCTAAAGATCTTGGGTACGCACGCACACGCACCCGGCGTGAGTTTTAAGCCACCAGGTCTGGGACTCGAACCGCAGTCGACTATGTGGGAGTCCAGAGAAATAGCCATTACGCTAACTGCTGGTCCCAACACATTCATACTTTTTTATAGGCTGTGTGCACTCACCTGAAAGAGACAGAGAGAAAGGGAGAGAGGAAAAATGAGAAATCATCCCCCAGGAATGGGACCACACCCACCTTCACCTCCATTCTACTCTTGAGATTTTGGGCATATACACACACACATGCCCCGCATGTTTTCAGGCTGCTGGGTCTGGGACTTGAACCATGAAATCAGCCATGTGGAATCCAGCACCTTAACCAGCATACCACTTGCTGGCCCACATTCATACATTTTTTTTTTGAGAGGTTTTTGCTATAGGGTGCGTGTGCTCGCCAGAAAGACAGAGAGAGACAGAAAGCGAGAAATCACCCCTCAGGGGGGATGGCCACGCCACAATCCCTTTTCCTCCATTCTCCTCTCGGGATTTTGGGCACGCACGCACACGCGCCCGGCGTGAGTTCTAAGCCACCAGTCCAGGATGCGAACTGCGTGGGAATTCAGCGACATAGCCATTACGCTAACTGCTGGTTCCCCACATTCATACATTTTAATAAATTCCAAAAATTCTTCTGAAAAGCATCTAAAGAACTTAGCAGTATTCATTCAGGTAGTGACTGCAAGAATGGACTTCTGGGAGTTAGATGGTGATGTAGCAAAAAAAAAATGAGATCTCTGCAAAGCAAAGGTTCAAGTCCAGGAGACCTCCCTGAGTTCACTGGAAATGTACTTGTCTTTGGTCCAGAGTTGGCTGAAGACTGCGAGTGGATCATGGCATGTGGACCCTATTGGAAATTCTCACTCTTGCTCATTGAAAATACAAACGGGCTTTTAAAAGGTGACTCCCCCAAGGAAGTTCTAAATACTCAATAATATTGAATAAGCAAATATCAAGAAGAGAGTATTTAGTAGAAATTTTGATTAACATTAAGATAGTTATTGACTATTGAGTCAATCTTCAAGGAATTAAAAATTAAAAAAAAAAAATCTGGCCAGCCACAACAGCACAGAAGTAATGCAAAGCTTCAGTAATACAAAGTTCCCATTTATTTAGAATGGTCACTTCATTACAGTATTTAAATGAAATGAACATTCTACTAGTTATCACCATTGCAATTCCATCTATAGATGTTAATTTTCATATAACTTACGTTTGAAACTAAAAAGAAAAAATGTTTAATACAAAGAAGCAGTATAGCGTAATGATTTAGTGTCTGAAGCCAGACTGGGTTAAATTTTCACCTCTACTATTCAATAGCTATGTGATCTTTGGTGAACAAATAATATTAGCTATTACTCTTAGCAGTAATAGTAGATAATTAAGTATACTTGCACTGATATAGTCCCAGTATTCTAAAAAAATAGCTGTGGAATATAGGGAAGGGAATCAGGGAGAAAAAATAGAGAGGCAAGACATTTGTGAGGCACAGAAATGGTTTATTACCTGTTGATAATGTATATAGTATTTTCAACTGGACTAGTCTGAGGTGTATTTCATGTTGCATAAATTCTCTTTATAAGCCAAATGATGTATATCAATCAAATATGTTTAAAATAATAATAATAAAATGGAATTTTAAAAAGATGTCAAAATAGCTCTGGAATACAGACATTTTCACTTACATATGAGTTCCTTTGTACTGTACTGTATTGTAAGGATGACTTGAGTTCATCAATGTCTATGTGTTTGCAGTAAGTTTACTTTCCATACACCATCACTGTTTCTCCTCACTTGGGATAGCATTTCTTCCCAGTCTACTTGACCTGCTTACTCACTACAAATGCCAATGAGTCCTATGTGAGAGAAAAAAATTCCTAACAGCCTGGTGGTAATATGT